TGACGACGTTTGATCAGTGCGGAGCTACTGCTACTGCTGCAGCCGGCGGCGGCGGCGGCTGTTCGACCCTGGTGGCCGTCGCCACGGCTGACGCACGGGTCGTGGTTCTGGAGCTTGAACCCTCGGGCCTCGCCGTCCGCGGGGAGCTGCGTACGATATCCCTGTCGGACGCCGCCGCCACAAGTGCCGCCGGCCTGGCGGGCATAGGGCCCGCAAGCGCGGTATGCTGGGAGCCGCTGTCCGGCAACGGCCTGCTGCTCATCGTGGGCCGCTCTGGCAGCATGGCATTGTACGACACGACCGCCGGCGAGGTCGTACTGTCGTACAGTAAGCAGCCCGCGACGGCGACACGCTTTGCGCAGTTCCTGCCGTCCCAGCCGGGCAATTTCCTGCTATCCTCCAGTCGCTCGGGTGCACTGCAGCTCTGGAACGTGAGCCGGCCTCAGCCGCTACGGCCTCTCCAGATGGGCGGGACCCTGGTGCAGGGCTTTGCGCTGATGAGGACGACAGCTGGCGGCGGCCGCGGTGAAGCCGCGGCGGCGGCGCGGTCGCCGCAACGTACGGCAGTGCTGGTGTCGTTCAGCGACGGCGCGGTGTGTTCGTACGATCTGGGTTCTCATCAGGTGCTCTGGCGTCAGGAGGGCGGTCACACGGAGACGGTGTTCGACTGCCGGTTCTGCCCCACCGACCCCAACCTGCTCGCTACAGCCAGCTTCGACTCCACTGTGCGGGTGAGTGAGTGAGTGAGTGTGAGTGAGTGCTTTAGACACGCAAACAAACACAACACATCCGTACACACTCCACAGCCTCTACCCTGTCCCTCACACACTCGCCTTCGTCGCCCAACCCCAATCCCAACGCCCCACCTTGGAAAACACACACGCACCCCCCTCCTCCTCCCCCCCCCACACACACGCTCACGCCGCCCTAACCCCTCGGGTGCAAGGTCTGGGACGTGCGCTCCAGCCGCTGCGTGAAGCACCTGCTGGGGGCTGAGGGCATCCTCTACTCGGTGAGCTGGTCGGCAGACGGCCGCCACATCGCGGCCTCTAACGACAGCGGCGCCATCTTCCTGTACGACTACGGCCGGGGGTCACTGGCGAAGACGCTACGTCAGCACACCAAGCAGTCGCTCAAGTAGGCGCGGGGAGTGGTTTAAAACCCACCTCCTCCTCTCCGTGGGAAGGGAGCTTACGGGAAAACAGGCAGCCAACTGGTTCTAAGTTCCTGCGGGATGGGAGGGGCGGAATTACCCATGACGGGTTGGGTGAAGTGGTGGGGGGGTTGGGGGGTAAGGGGGGATGGAGGGGCGGGAAACCGTTGAAGGTACGGAGGAGGGTACGGCAGCAGGATTGGAGAGCGGTGGGTTTTAGGGTTTTCGGGGGACGGAGCGGGGGCTACTCCCTGTGTGGGGTGGGGTGGGAAGTGAGAACCGGACAATACTGTTCGAAAGGACGCTGGCTCGGGAAGATAACTGTAACCCATGAAAAACTGTGAATCGCACTTCAATGTTAGTTGGACGAGCCGCTGACTGCCGTACGCAGCCAACGGAATAATGAACCCGCCATTGACCCTCATGAGAAGACGGGCGCCCGTCAATACCCGATCCCCAAACTTCCCCCCCCCCCTCTCACACCTCGCCAAACCACACCACACACCCCTCCCTCCCTCCCTTCACACAAACACACCCGCTACCCCGTGCCCCAGGGTGGCCTTCCACCCCCACAAGCCCTCACTGCTCGCCTCCGCCTCAACCGACGGCACCGTTCTGGTGTACAACATCGACGGCGAGACGGTTCGCGAGCTGCGCCACTCCTCCCCCGTCTCCTGCATCGCCTGGAGCGGGCTGAGCCCGCAGCTGCTTGTGGGCACCTCGGGGGGCGGCGAGCTGCTGCTGTGGGACGTGAGCCGGCCGCACCACGACTGCCTAGTGAGGACGTTGGTCGGGCACAAGTGAGTGAGTGAGTGGTTGAGTGGTTGAGTGCGTGAGTGAGAGGACAAGAAAGAGTGAACGAGAACAAGAAAGAGTGAGAGGACAAGAAAGAGTGAGTGAACAAGAACGGATGAACGAGAACAAGAAATGACGGGCAGGAGTGTGTGTATGTGTGTGTGTGTGCGCACACACACACACACACACACACAGCAAATCAGTCGGAGGGCCTTACGTGCCCCGCCACCACCACCACCGACAACACGTATGTACAGCAGATCAACAGCAGCGGCCGCTGCAGCCACACAGCCACCCGGAAGCTGTTCCTCCCCACACAGGGGGGAAGGGGAGGGGAGGTGGTTACCAATTTACTTGGTCCTACATATTTAAACCCCCCCAGCAAGGCCCCCGAACTACCCGCGCAAACCAAAAATTATGTCAGTACGTGCGTGTGTGTGTATGTATGTGTGTTTGTATAGCTGTAAAACTCGTGCGATACGTACTTGTGTCCCTAAGCTCTCGCGGGGGCCCCGTCGCGCCCGTTCGTCTCTCCTCCTTCCGCCCTCCCCCCCCCGAGCAGCGGCCGGTCTTTCAATGTGGAGTTTTCACCGTTGCTGCGCAACTACCTGCTCAGCTCGTCCAATGACCGTACATCCCGGGTGTGGGACGTGTCCTCCGGGGAGTGCCTGGCGGTGAGTGGCGGGGGTGGTGACTGGGGGGGGAGGGTGGACTCGGGGGTTGCTTTCACTGATAATATTAATAAAAAATAAATAATTTATAAATAATGAATAAAAGATCAATTATAACAAATAAAGGAATAAAGAATGCCAGAGCCAGCTCCGAATCAGAGCCAGCTGGGCCCGGGGCCCTGCCAGCTAGTGGGGGGTGTTGGCTGGTGGCAGATTATTCCCCCAACCTCTCCCCCTCCCCCAACCCTGCCCGACGGGTCGGAGGCTGCTAAGGCACCTACGATGAGGCGTGTGGGGAGGATGGCTGAGGAACGTTATACTTGGTTGCCGTACGTTGAGAAGAGGGGTGTCAATCTTTCCGTACATCCTGCTTCTGATGCGTTTGTTTGTTACTTGCGGCCCCACCCAGTAAACCATGCAAACACGCATACATACATACATACATACATACATACATACATACATACATGCATGCATGCATGCATACATACATACATACATACATACATACACGTTACCACATTCTTGCGATATCTCCACCTCCAACATAGCCTTGCCTCAGCCTCAGCCTCTTTTCATCCCCTCGCCCTCCCCCCTCCCCCTTTGCCCCCCCCGCCCCCCTCCCCCCAGGTCCTGTCCGGTCACACGGCGGTGGTTCGTGCGGTGGCGTGGCACCCAGAGGTGGCACACATCTGCTTTACAGGTGAAGATGGGAAAAGGGGGGATCGCACATGCAAAAGGAAGCGGGGGGAATGAACTGCCGGTAGTAGGCGTCCAAAGTATGTATAAGAAACTGCCCCAGTGATTGAGTCCTAAGCGATGGAACATGTAAAAAGACAAAGAAGGAGAGAACGAATTAATAAAGGTATATGCACGCAAGATTTGAGAATGTATGTTGTTGTTACAGGTTGGTATAGCTCCACCAGCGGCCCTCTTTCCCTTGGAGGCAGTTCCCTGCTCTCCCCTGCGAGAGGGGCACCCTAACACATTCACCCCATCCGACTTCAGAATGTACTCTTTGGGTTCGGCAACTTACCACCAGCATCCAACCAAATATAGCGGATTAACGGCGCCACAACTTAGTTCCTTAGTCAGTGAATGTATGTATGACATTTACACTTGTCAGGTAGGCGCGAGTGCGAGTGCGAGTGCGATGGCCCCCAAAGGCGCTTCAAAGTGAAGTGAGCGGTGAAGTGAACGCAACCCGCAAAGTAATGAACTTAGTATTTCCGTATTCGCACATTTCGGAATGATGTTTTAAAATGGATGATGCTTTTTTAGGTCATCGTCTTTCCAATTGACGATGGACGAGCGATTCCTTTTGGGGACGAACCCGCAAAAAGGGAAAGCAGTGAAACTGGGTGTAAACACGGCGTCGAGAAACCGTTCGCAGTTATAGAATTCTTATAATAATTAATAATAATTCCTGTAGGGTTCGAACGGTATGGCGCATAGACAGGTATAGCCGATTGGGCGAAGTTGGACGTCATTACGTCAAGCAGGACATCGTCCGGGAAGATGGACCGATCATGTCCTAAACAAGCACCTGTCGAATCCAACGATTACCTTTTTCGTATCTGTTCTCGGCGGCTTCAGAGAGATTACTTCAAAGGATCTTTTCTTTGATTGGATCGCTTTTGAAACAATGTAATGACGGAGCCGCAGGCAGAGGCCAAAGTTCCCGCGCGTGATAGCTGATAACGAGCTATCGGGCCCCACATTTTTCCTCTTGCACACACACATAGATACACACATAGATACACACATAGATACACACATAGATACACACATAGATACACACATAGATACACACATAGATACACACATAGATACACACATAGATACACACATAGATACACACATAACTATCGGTCTTTCCCGGTGGGTTACCCCTGGCCAGTGTCAGGCCCGAATCTGTGTGTGTAACACACACACACACACACACACACACACACACACACACACACACGTACACATACAAAGACACGTGCACACACCTTCTCCCCTCTTTCCACACCTCTGCCTTCCGTATCCCCCCTCCCTTTTTCCCCTCGTCCGCATCTTTTGTATTAGTATTAGTATTATATGTTTTTATTATCATTTTAGCATAATTATATTTGTTATTGTTCATTATAATTATTTCCTAAATGAAGTACGCATCCGTGCTATTTCATATACATACATACATACAGGGCGGGGGTAGCGTCCCCGGCCATAGAGGGCCAGTGAGCTATGTAACAATTACACACATACATACATACACACACAAACTGAGGATCATGTGCCGTACCAACCGGTAGTAGCAGTGCTGCCCGCCCGCGTGTAACCCAAACACCGATATATAAAGCTTCCTAGGTGTGAAGGGCTGCTGTACAGTGCTATACATACATACATACATACATACATACATGCATACATACATACATACATACATACATACATACATACATACATGTTTGCTGTTTACGTTGCCTTGTCTATACCTGTCCTCGCGCAAAATGAATATGGCGCTTAAGTATGATCCCCCTTCCCCCTTCTTCTACGTCTGGTACACTCTTGCCCTGGCAGCAGCTTCACTCGTTCGTGGTTCGTCTTTCCCCCTTCTTCGCCAGGAGTTTAAATCCCTTGATCACCTTGTTTGTTTCTCTTTCCGTCGCCTCCCCCCATTCCCCATCCCCCACCAAAAAAGGTTCCTGGGACGCTTCCGTACGGGTTTGGGACATTCGTACCGGCCACTGCCTGTACGTGGCGAACGACCACCATGCCGACGTGTACGGCATCGCATGTCACCCCCGACGACCCTTCTTCCTCGCCACCTGTTCCCGCGACAACACAGTGAGGTTGTGGAGCACTCTGGGCCTTACGTCTCATCTGCTGCCACAGGTACGGCATTAGTACGGCAGGCGCCGGCCAGCGTACTGAAACGCACCCATTGGTGGTGATGATGGGGATGGGGATGGGGATGGGGATGGGGATGGTCATTTATGGATTCCAGCTGTTGAGTCCGAGGAGGGTGCGGAGAAGTTTGCGGACGGGGGATGGGGTCGAAGAGGCAACCTCGTGCAGGTGACGCCCTCCCCACCCCCATCCCCCGCGTGCTGCCGTACAAACCCACGTCCCCCTCCTCCTTCCTCCGTCATTGTCCCCTCCCCCCCCTCCTCAACCCTTTCCCCACACTACCAGGCACTGATTCGCGGCCTTCCAGCTCTGCGCGCCCAGCCCTCCCCCTCTCGCTCGTCGTCATCCTCCTCCCTAGAAAGCGAAGCTGCCGTACTGCCGCTGTCCTCACCCACCACCGCAATCCTAATGAGCGGCTCGGGCTCCCTGGAGCTCTCTGAGAGGCTGGCGGCTCCGTCATGCTCCCCCCTGGAGCAGTTTGCCGCCGTCACGGAGTTCTTCATGCCGCCAGGTGTGTATGTGCGTATGTTTGTTCGTGTGTGTGTTTGTGTCTGTGTGTGTGGTGGGGGGTGGAAATTATCGTCCCGGGGTTGTGGGAGGGCCCCCGGCAGTGTTGCATGGCGCCTTGGAATATCATTGTTAATGTAAACCTAACTTACTACTAAATATCATTATTATTGTTATTGCTATTACTCTGTTATAATAAGTAATACTAGTAAGAGTAATGGACTGTTCCCTGTGCTCCCTTGACAAGGAGAGGAGCTCCTACGGGCTTACACCTCCCCCTCCCCCTCTCCCCCTCCCCGCCGCGATCCCAATCGCCTTCGGACCCACTCGCAACCGCACAACCGCACAACCGCGCAACCAAACCGCGACAACAGCTTGCATGGACGTCTTCTGGGATGTAGCACGGTACGTCCGGTACGGCAGCGGCGGC